GCGCGTGCGCGATTATCGCGAGCAAGGTTGTTTCTCAGGAGCAATCAGAATCGGCGGCGGAGCTTCCACCACTTTCCGGCGGAGCTGATCACGTCGCCGCCGTGAACGGCCACAATAGCGCCGCCACCGTGGCTGGACTGAATCTGGTCCCGATCGAGAAATCCGACGCCAAATCGCTGGTCCCGCAACCGCCGCAGAAGCCTCTCAGCATCACGGATCTGTCGCCTGCGCCGATGCACGGATCTAAGCTCCGAGTCGCGTACCAAGGCGTCCCGGGCGCGTACTCTGAGGCCGCCGCCGGTAAGGCTTACCCAAACTGCGAAGCAATTCCTTGCGATCAGTTTGAAGTGGCGTTTCAGGCGGTGGAGCTCTGGATCGCGGACCGAGCGGTTTTACCAGTGGAGAACTCGCTCGGTGGCTCAATCCACCGGAACTACGACCTCCTCCTCCGCCACCGCCTCCACATAGTGGGAGAGGTCCAGCTCCCGGTCCATCACTGCCTCATGGCTCTCCCCGGTATCCGCAAGGAGTTCCTCACGCGTGTGATCTCACATCCACAGGGACTCGCCCAATGCGAGCACACACTCACCAAGCTCGGCCTCAACGTGGCGCGTGAGGCTGTCGACGACACCGCCGGAGCCGCCGAATTCATTGCCGCCAACAACCTACGCGACACAGCAGCGATCGCGAGCGCACGAGCCGCAGAGATCTACGGGTTGGAGATCCTCGAAGACGGGATCCAGGACGACGCGAGTAACGTCACGCGCTTCGTGATGCTGGCGCGTGATCCGATCATACCTAGGACTGACCGGCCGTTCAAGACGAGCATTGTGTTCGCTCACGAGAAAGGTACGAGCGTTCTGTTCAAAGTGCTTTCGGCGTTTGCGTTTAGGAACATCAGCTTGACAAAGATCGAGTCGCGACCGAATCACAACCGCCCAATAAGGCTCGTCGACGACGCAAACGTGGGAACGGCGAAGCACTTCGAGTACATGTTCTACATCGATTTCGAGGCTTCAATGGCGGAGCCGCGTGCACAGAACGCGCTAGCTGAGGTTCAGGAGTTCACATCCTTCCTGCGGGTGCTGGGGAGTTATCCCATGGACATGACGCCTTGGTCACCATCATCATCATCATCATCATCATTGTCAGCATCATCACCATCATAAAACATATGAACACTACCACCAAGATAAACCTTAATTAATATGTAAATTTGGAGAATGAAAACTAAAACTTATTTCTCCTATATATAAAAAAAAATTAAGAAGCCGTGGGATCCGTTGTTGTGTTTATTTCTGTTGTCAGCTTTTTTTAGATTTAATTACGTTCTTTAAGCAACAGCTTATATTAAATTTATCATCCAAATGTCAAAAGATTTATCATTTGTATAAATATAAATGTCAACATTGATGAGTGATTTATCATTTGTATAAATGTCAACATTGATGAGTGATTGGTGAGAAATTAACATATGGTAAAGATGATGATGGCGTGGGTGGAGTTTGGTGGGGATGATGATGGTGACGGTGATGATGATGATGATGATGATGATGATGATGATAATGGGGCGGGGGTTGGTAAAAGCCTAAAAGGTGAGAAGGCATACGTATTTTGGAGGCGCGTGGTAGGTACGATCGTTTCGTGTTTGCTTTATGGACCATTATTCGTTTGAAGAAGACATGTTGACACGTCATCATTACCTTCTACGCGCATCCACACGTAGACAAACGTACACGCTACATGCAAATATACACAAAAGTACTATATAATTCGACTCGTAGTCGTAGCCCTTTTTTTGGTCTCAAACATAGGTGGTGAAGAATGTGAGAATCACTTGCGTACTGTTAGATTTCAATGTATGTATGTATGACACCTCTCCCTTGGTCAGTAATGTAAACAGTTAAGGCAAGCATTTGATAATTTTTCTTGACAAATGCGATGTTTTGATTGAAATATACATATATAAAATCAATAGAAGCAGAGTGAAGAAATGACAATCTTATCATATTTGAAAAAGGCCGCAACAAATGAAAACAAAAATAAAAAATAAAAAGGGTGAAAAATGATAATAAAAAAAACATGATGTTGAGAGTGGGATTTGAACCCACGCCCTTTCGGACCAGAACCTTAATCTGGCGCCTTAGACCAACTCGGCCATCTCAACCTGTTGTTTTTAGTATATTAAGTTCAAAGTACAATTTGTGTTATCATCAAATAAAGATCAAGCTCGTATATCTCGAGTGCTGAAAAAACATGATCTGATTCGATTGGCGAGATTTAGGCGTACAGTCATTATGGTCACTGATACCCCAAGTAATGAAGACAAGCCGACGAGGGCAAAGACGAAGGCAAGAGAGACGAAAGGAACGAAGGAAGAAGATGAAGACCAGAGAGGGAGGCGAAGGAAGAGACAACAAAAATTTCCCTAAAAACTAGTGTTACCATTTCAGTTACACGGCTGGATATCAATAAATACCGGTAAGATCCTGTATTTCTGCCCAGCCCCGAAAGACTGAGCGACAATACAAGGTGCAAAAAAAAATATCAATACCACTACAACCAATACCTTTTGCTTCCAAAAGGATACAATATATGGAAAGAGCCCACACCCACACCGATGAACACAGACAGGGTGTATGAAGACCATAATGAACAACATATCAAAGTACTCAATCAACCACCAAAACAAGATACACTATTTTGCTTCAAAACAACCCCCCCCCCCAAAAAAAACAAATTATATATAGTTATGAAAATGGTCTTTGCGTGTATTTTAAGAAGCACTTTGTTGACATTTGGGGGGTTTTGTGAATGTGGTAGATGAGGAGGGTTGTTTAGCCCCCTGTGTGTGTGTGTCCACTTAGGAAGCAACAGCTTTCGACACTGCTTTCTTCACTGCCTCCGCGTAGGTCCTGTGCTGGTACGTTAACGTTGACTCCAGCAGGTCCCATAGCGACGTCTTGGGGTTCCATCCTATAATATTACCACACATTTATGCCCATTGATCAGAACCTTCCCATATATCTATCTATACAACGATCCATGCATATATATATATATACCGAGCTGGCGGTTTATGATGGTCATGTCAGGGATTCTCTTGTCGCTGTCATCATAGCCTTCCCCGTAGAATTCTTTGGAGCTAACATCTATCGTCGGATTCTCGGGGGCCGGCTCTCCACAGACTTTCGAGTAAACCTGGCATGATATTTCTAACATCTTTGAGGCAATATGAACGCTTTTCTTATCGGATGTGATTTCCGGATTTTCAGAGTTGCTCACCTCAGTCATCATTTCAGCGAGTTGCCTCACCGTAACTTCATTGTTTGGGTTGCCTACATTGAAGATATGGCCATTGACTCTGTCCGGGTTTTCCTGTACAGAACACCAAAACATTTAGATGAAACTTCACCCGGTGAGGAAGTACACAAACAAATAGCCGAAGGGGTTGGCAATGAAACACACAATCATCAAAAGGACAGCTTCGATTGCATCCTTGATGTAGATGAAAGTTCTCTGGGATTGTCCACCATCCACAAGTTTGAGAGGCTCACGGCGTAGAAGGTTCTGTCATAAAAAATTGAAAGAAGTTGTAGCCACAACAAAAAAAAAAAACATGAATGAAGAATATTGTGATGTGGACTCATCTAGTTATAAGATCAACTTACGTTACTAAAGCAAGCAAGGACCCGAGGAACACCCTCACTTGGGCCATCAATGCCAGGTATGAAATCCATTCTAGGTCCAATCCAGTTAAACGGTCTCACAATGGTGAACTGGAGTGCGTTCTCAGCACCCTCGGCTGTGACCATAAGCAAATGAAATCAGAAACCTTTTGTTCTGAGTAAATCAAACTACAGTGTTATGTGGTTGAAGTAGCTTTACCATAGACGAGTCTCTCAATCAGTTGCTTTGCACAGGCATATGACCACCTTTGCTTCTCAATAGAACCAAAAATGCAGGGGGAAGTATCTTCTTTGAGAACATAGTAAGCAGGGTCCTGCAAAACCCGAAACAAGCCACATTTCGTGAGGAATGAAACAGAGAGAAAAGGTAATATGCAGGAGCTAAAGTACAAGCGCGAACTACTTGTCACGAGGCAAACGAAGCAAAACAGAGCAGACAGGACTCAAACCACCCTTGTGCAATAAGGGACAAGAAACTATGTTTTCTCTGCACTTTCAAAATCTAGGCATTGTTAAAAATGGATAATTTGTAGTTCCTAAGAGTAGTCTACATGATTCTGGAATTTTTTCAAAAGAAAGAGATCTAACAAGAAGATTAGCACTCATAGTTTAGCTGTTGGCATTGCCCACAAATAAGAAACAGAAAGTTAAGGATAACTACAAAATGTTCTCAATACACAAGAAGGCGACATTCAACTAAAGGTGGTAAAAAGACAAAAACATGTTGAAAGCGAAAGGGAGAAAAGGAAGCCTGACCTGACGCAGAGGATGATCCTTTGGAAGAAAGCTTCCAATAGTTTTTCCATACACTTCACAAGTCGAAAAGTGAATGAGACGCTTGTTGTTCTCTGAACAGTACTTAACCTACATGCCCGACCCGAATCAAGCCAGACAACAAGTGATAAGTGATAACAAGCTAACAACCATATCTCGGCGCATCAATATCACAAAATAGCTTTTCAATCTATTCAACTGCTCCAGGAACAACTGTTACACGGAAAAAGGTGGAAAAACACCGTTAATTGAAGAATTTCATACCACGGGGAGCGCATCAATGAAATTGCTGTAGATTGTGTCAAGAGGACGCGTATTGTAATCTGCAGGAGTACAGATGGCAGCTAGATTTATTGTCTGCGGAACAAAACAGAAACAACTATTACATCAGAATTTAACAACCGAGAGAAAGAGAGAGGTAAAGAAGATGAAGCAGATATAGCTTCGAGTATAGATATATACATGAACAGAAGATCTATGATAAACGTCCAATTGCGAAACGTGGAAGCTGAATATTCGATTTTAAATTCCGATAATGGACCAGATCTAAGTCAGCGAGCATGAATCGTGCAAACACCAAACAACATTTGCAATCAACAAACCGGTTGCGTCAGCTTACGCTTTGAACATGCAAGGATAAATTCCCAAAAGGAACAGCTACGCACTCACACGAGGGGAATTAGAAAAATTACCAGATCCGCCATCTTGATAAGTCCTTCAAGCCTGGAATCATGCTTGATGTTGATACGATGGAACTGGATCCGATCGGCCCAGGGAAGCGTATCAGGCTCGAGTAAGTGCTTGATCTTGTCGTTGTAGACGTCGAGAGCGAGCACCTTGTGCGGTGTCTCCGACATCAGCTTCTCGCATAGGTGGGAACCGATGAAACCTCCGGCGCCGATCATGCATATCGTGATCGGCTTTACCGGCCTCCCGTCGAGATCAACTCTACCGGATCCGTTAGCCATTTTCTCGGGAAATTTTTGAAATCGCTAAAACCAGAGGCTCTCTCTCTGGATATTCAATTCTCAGTGACCGCAGGCTTCCTCTCTCTAGAGGATAATAATGCAATGGCTGTAAGAGCAGCAGATGGTGAGGACGAGAGATTTTTGGGCTTGGGGAATGGCGGAAACCAGGAAACGGGGACGGTGGATTTAAGAGCGGCAATGCGCGTACAGAGAAGTACCTACGCGCGACACCGACGCGTGGAGTTACTCGCAAACGTTGTAGCTTCGCTTGGAATCTCTCTCTTAATAGTTAATATCATTATTAATTAAGTCTAGATCAGATCATGTATTATTGTTAAACAAATTCAAATAAATAGATCAATTTTTTATTTATATAAATATATTAATTATTGAAAATTTTTATATGAATATAATTTTTTTAAAACATTATTTTTAATATTATTAAATCACAAAGCAAAGATATTTTTATATTATTAAATAATTATTCAATTTATTTTAAAATATTTTGATAAAAATTATATATATAATTATGTCTCTATTCAATAAAACTCAACTAGTTATGTATTTATATAAAAAAAATCGTGTTTATTTTGAAAGTTTTAATAAATTATTGTATTTGTTATAAAATTATATCTCTATTTACAATTCTTGAAATCATTTATTATCATAAATCATTAACAAAAATATCAGAATAGTAATTAATAAGTTAAATAAGTTTCTTTATTTATTTTTATTTTATTATCTTAATTAGTATTTTTTTATGATCTAAAAATTCATCGAATTTTAGTTCCAATTACATCTCTCGAAAATACGAAAGAAAGTTGGATAAATTATAGCATGACAACACCTTCCTAATCATGTTTAGAATCAAATCTTGAATGAAACCATGTTTTATCATACTCACTTATCAATAATCTACCAAAAGTTCATCTGATCAAAAATTCGATCTAACTAATATACTTAGATATGATGTAGAAAATTTGACTATTTTTTATAATAAAAAGTTTCACTATATTTTCAATTTAACTAATCTTCTATATCCGAAATCAGTCATTAATCAAGCAATTAATGGTTATTGATCGTTGAACCTTTTGAAAATAACCTTTCAATCACCTTTGCCATTCTACCACCACAAATGCTTTTTTTTTAAATGACTATTCTATTATGAATTACAAATATTTTTTTTATAACTACAATAGGTCTGCGTGAAAATTGCATGTGAACCAATCAGTAAACTGTGTTTATAAAAGAGGTAAGTTATATTTTATTATTTTTTATCCATTAAAATAGAATAAAAAATATCATCCAAAAAAAAGATCTGTTGGATATAAATATTAGACTGTGCCAGAACATGTTATGGGTTATGCTATGTTGTGACTCTCTTGGAACACTGTTTCTTTTGGACCAACATTGTCAGATCATTAGATTATCAAGATTTATGGGTCCAATAAACTTAAAAATGTATAACGAACCAAATAATTTTAAAAAATAACTTTTATATGTATTCGAGCTAATGTATTAATTCTTCAGTATTTTCATATACACATGTATTGTCAATATTGTCTTCACAGAAAAATCATGTGTGTGTATATATATATATATATATATATTGTTATTTCCATTTATGGAACCACTATATTTCGATGTATTATACATGCGTTGTATATCAAATATATTTTAAATATGTTTGTATTTTTGTAACCAATCCTAGAGCTTTGTAAATCTAGATTAATAATAATGATTTTTAACATTGAAGAAGCATTGAGAAAAATAAAAGTACACATTTTTACTAAAAAAACATACTCTTAAAATACTAAACACAAAATAATAAATATTAGTAAGATTTTTTTTAGTACAATGATACATGAATAAATAGATATTTTTTAGATTTTATGATTGATTTATCTTCAATATAAATTGTGAATTTATATATATTAGATAAATTAATTATAACATTGATCCGTAAATCAAACATACGACCAATTCGATTTGGGGTAATTCTAATTGTATGGAACATGATTAAATTCAATATATTTTCTATAATCTCAATTAATAAATTAAGGTAAAATAATATTGTTGTTCACGGATAAAATTGTGTGTTGCATTTTTTGGGAAAATTTGTGTTGTATGATAAAATATAATAAAGAAAATGGACCGTGGGTGGAGAGATGGAAATGGAGTGTCCAATTTGGCTTTCATGTGAGTGAGCGCCTTGCAGCCAGTGAGCTGTCTAGTGTTCATAATTGATGCTCACGTGGCCATATGTATATTATATATTTTCAGAAATGAAAATTATTGGAAACTCAACCCCACGCGCGACAGTCCCTACTGAAACCTCCGGCGCCGATCATGCATATCGTGATCGGCTTTACCGGCCTCCCGTCGAGATCAACTCTACCCAGTGAACGAGAGTCCCTACACGCGCCTCTCTCCCTCTTTGTAGATAATATAATAAAAATTATCGAAATAAAAATACTAATAAAAACAAAAACTAATCGAATTTATATTTAATTTTGACATTCATTTTGTTTAAATCTTTGCATAAAAAGAATTTATTAAACTGAAGCTGACTTGGCATATTGTAAAGAGCACCGACACAGCGCGTGTAAACAAGGGACTTTTTATGTTTCGTCCAAATAATTTATTTTTTATTTATAATTTTTTAAAGTACCGACAAAATACATGCTTGGATCATAGGTGCAGTAAGTACCCGCTCGAGGACGTCATACACTGAACACTTTTTAAAAATGTTTTTATAAAAATTATTTGTTTAGTTTGAAATATAATTGGAATATTTTACAATCAATTAGAAATTTAAATATACAATAGAGAAGTCATACATAACATACAAATTTATCAAATTGCAAAAAAAAAAAAATAGTAAGAACAACTACTTGTAAGATAACTATTTCTATTCCTATCAGAAGTAACTGCAGTGAAATGTAAAATTATGCATGACCTGTGAATAATCTCTCTTTCTAACATTTGGACTGAAGATTTCCAAAATTATAAGTTTGCCCAATAAAACCCAAAGAATATCATTTTCGACAAAGTAACTGAAACCCTAAAGTAAAGGTAGTGACATTAAAAATATCCCCAAGCAGCAAAACTTCTGGATCTACCAGAAGGTTTAAAGTAATATGGGTTGTGTTTCCTGGAAAATGTATCCATTAAAAGATGTCTACAGAACTAAGCTACACGATATGTTTCTAGTCATTGTAGCCGTGGAATCATCAACGATGTTGTAACATTTTTGGTATTATTATTAATCTTTTTTTAAGTAATTGAATATACCGAATTAAAATCTAAATTAATTTTGAAAACGAAAACCAACCATATAATTTGAAATATATATTTTCTAGAAACCGATAAAAAAATAAAAAAAAAGACTCGATTCAATGGGACATACGGATCGGCAACTTTTTTTTTTCCGAATAGAAATTAAATTGAATATTTTTCAGATAAACATTTATCTTTGAAAAAAAAACAGTAGTTTTTAATTAAGATTTTAGAGATTATCGTTAGAAATTCTTAAAAAAAGACAGTAGCTTTTGTAAAATACCATTATCCAATGAAATAAGGATGTTTTAGCCAAATTTCCATTTATAAAAACCTTGAACTATGATAATATGTTTTTTACGATATATATATATATATATTGATATATAAACAGGGCACTTAAAATTGTAAATTTCCAAAAAGAAAGTAAAACTACTGTTTTGGAACCTAAAGTAGAATAAAAAAAACAATTTTTTTTAGAAGGGAACAAAAATCAAACAGATTGAGAAGAAGACAACAAAAGGAAAACCCAAAGATAAAAAAAAAAAAAAAAAAAAAAAAAAAAAAAAAAAAACCCAAAAAAAAAAAAAAAAAAAAAAAAAAAAAAAAAAAAAAAAAAAGCCCACAACACAAACAAAGCCACGTCTCCTTTTATCTCATTTTCAAAGAAAGAAGCAAAGTTCAGCAAGGGCAGCCATGGCTGCGCAATCAATCCTCACGTTCTCCTTGCCCTCTCGGGCTCTCCCATCATCGCATCCCAAGTTGTCTTTGTCCTCTTCTTCTGCTCCTCGTCTCCGTTCCTCATTCTGTGGCGTCTCCATCAGCCGCCGCTCGGTTTCCTTCTCCGGTGGATCTCCGGCGAGATCGATCACCGTTTTCGCCGCCACGAAGAAGGCAGTGGCTGTTCTCAAGGGTAACTCCGAGGTTGAAGGGGTTGTCAGTCTGACCCAAGAAGACGATGGTCCGTCTCTCCTTTCGCTCTCTTTGTCGTATTTATCGGCATTCGTATTCTAATTCCGATTACAGATTCTTCTCTGGGTTTCTCTTTTTTGTTGATTTGGTCGATATTTCGCGATGGGTTTTTGGATTTACTGAAGCTTGTGTTGTTATTCAAACTTTAGCTCCGGCGTGCGTCAGATTTAGGCAGCTTTTCGTGATTTTCTATGAAGAATAGATTTTATCATCTGCCCGATGAGAACTTATCGGTGTATTGATGAAAAGGTCTTAGCTTTGGAATGATTAATCCACATAGAAATCTGTGGTTTTGAAGTGTGTATCAGAGTTCTCTGGTTTATGAACCAAAGCCATTCCTTATGAGAAAACGTGTTTCTCGCATGGAGGAGGCTCATGCTTTTTTGAGGTTTAAACCAGAGTTTGAACTTTCTTATGGCACATGATTTAATGTCTGTTAACTGTGGAGATGGTTTGTGATATGTGTTTATTGAATTGGATTGGATGGAGTAACTGAGATATACATTGCTTGATCATGGTAAACAGGTCCTACCACTGTGAACGTTCGCATCACCGGCCTCACTCCCGGCCCTCATGGCTTTCACCTCGTAAGCCTTCATCCGACCATGTTCATTATCCTTCTTCTTGTTCCTCCCTTGTGGTTTTCAAGTTGGTGAAATTCTGATACCGGTGCCTAAACTCCGTGTTGTTTTCCAGCATGAGTATGGTGACACAACAAATGGATGCATCTCGACAGGTTCTGCATTTCTTTTCTTTATCCTTACATCTCATTTGGTGAAGATTCGATTGATTCATCCTGATGCTTTTGATGTGCTTTTTTTATTCTTGTTCCGAATTCTTTTGTATGTAGGGGCACATTTCAATCCTAACAACATGACACATGGAGCTCCCGAAGATGAAATCCGTCATGCGGGTGACCTGGGAAACATAATTGCCAATGCCGACGGTTATCTCTTCCTTCTTAAGTCTTTGCATCTCCCATAATATCGGTTTTCCTGAACTTACTTACCGCCGTCTTCATAATGCAACAGGGGTGGCAGAGGCAACAATTGTCGACATACAGGTGTGTTTTGTGACAGGATTTTCCTGTTTCCTTCACTTTGTTCTCATCTATTTGTCTTCTGACAAGCAATGGCGTCACTAATTCGATCATGCAGATTCCTCTGACTGGTCCGAATTCAGTAGTCGGAAGACGTGGAAGCTGCATATTCGATTTTAAATTCCGATAATTGCGAGCTTGAGGATGACCTCGGAAAGGGTAAAGAAACCTGATTTAAAAGACTATTCTTATCATTGTTTAAGAAAAGGGTGACGACCGTTGCCAAGCTTATAAAACTTTTCCCCGAGTAAGATTTGATCTCTTATGGAGCATTCTGTGCTCATATCTGTAGGTGGGCATGAGCTTAGTCTGACCACTGGCAACGCCGGCGGCAGGTTGGCATGCGGTAAGGCTCTGAATTCATTTTTTTTCCCGTTTATCTTCCACTGTCCTATCTCGTAGAACTTCGAATATTGCACGCCATGACTTACAGTAGTAACATTATACATTAAACCCGCAAATCGTTATCTGCATCATGTGTTTTCATCAGACTCGCCGTTCTTGTAGCATTTGCATTTGCATATATAGAAGAAACACTATACGCAAAACCCGTAAGATCGATCTGTTTACGCGGTCTCTCGTCTTTACAACGTGCCCTTTCCGCAGGTGTTGTTGGCTTGACTCCGGTTTAACTCTGTTGGTCGAGGAGTTTCTGGTGTAATTGAAAGACAGAGAGCTAAACAATAGGGTTTTTCCTGAATAAAGTTGGACTCTGTGTCCAAATGTGTGTTTGATTGGCCTTAAACTGTGTTGGAACCTTATCTGATCGGTTTCGGTTTCGGTTTCAGTTCCGGTTCGATTTTACACCTTTGTGTGGTAGGATCCTTCCCCGAACCCTGTTCAACGGGATGCTTTGTGCACCAGAGTGCCCTGCCCTTTTTCGTAATTGGGTGGACGAAATCGTTATATGGATTGATAGATACATTAAAACTTTGGGAAAACTGTATTCCCAAAATTTGCAAATTTGGTTTAGTTAATTTAAAATCCTCGTAAGTCGTAATATAATATAATCAGTGTGCATGTTAACGATAGTGTTTACTAATATCTTATGTTAACTTCTCCAATCTCATACATAAGATTATAAAGTTAAAATAACTTAACGTGATTTTGACTTGGGATTATCCTAAGAAATCATTAATCCGCTTGCTTACTTGTGTGCCATGATTAGGGCGCAATTTATTATTTCATTAAATTAAAGTTTTGACATAATATATGAAAATATAATGAACAAAACATAATTATCAGTTTAAGCACCTGTTTGGTCCCCTCGGGACGTGTCTTTTGAACCTGAACTAAATTAAAGTTACTTCCTGTTTTCCTTCTCCTCATATTTTTTTTTATATTTTTTTGGGTTTGTTTTATTTGAAAAAAAAAATAGGAAATTTAATTCAGCTATCTCCAAAAACATAATTTACATCAACTTATTATCAGCTAGAAAAACTACTGTATTTATAATTAAAGAATTTAATCAATAGTATTTTCATCTATAGTTTCAGATTCAGGAAGGATTAAAAAAAACTAATTTTCAAGATAGAACCATTGTAAAAATGTATAGTGGCAATTATCAACCATTTCTTCCTGAATTCAATTTGGATATTTCTCATTAATTGAAGAAATTGATGGTTTAGGTCAATGACAACCAAGCAAAATTATAATAGTAGGAGAGATAAAGCTATCTTAGCTAATTTGTTTGACAACTCCACAAACTAAACTATAATAAAATGCACATATATATATATATATATACATACAGTGCATATCCATGTGTATGTATGGGTGTGAACATATATAATTGCATAGTCTTGTTATTGAGCAATTAAATTACTTATTAATATGGCATTATGAGGTGCTGCCTAGTTGCAACCAACATGCTTTCATGGATCATGAGTTGTGGCCTATAATATTCTCATTATTCAAATTAGGTTTTGATAGTGATGTATCTCTTATCTTTTGAGAAGTATGAAAATTCAGAGTGTATAACAAATATATATTAACCTTGATTTATTTCCATATATTTGTACTATCCTATTTCAGATTTATTTGAACAAAATATTTCAGCTTTGGAAAAAGACTAGCGTGATATTGATCAAATTATATCCCAAGAGATTAGTGTTCTATTTTCAAGGTGGGTAATATACAGATGCATACACATATAATAACCTATTTAACTATATATATATATATATATATATGAATATATAAACAATGGTTGGAGGAAGAGGAGAGTGTGTGAAGTGAAGTGAGGATGAAGTTGAGTGAGGTGAGAGTGTTTGTAGTTTAAGTGAATAGTTTGGATGTAGTGTCTAATGTCTATCCACTCCCAAGGAAAAGACATTTTTCCTCATGCCCCACCTCTCTCTCTCTCTCTCTCTATATATATATATATACACACACACATGTGTGTGTGTGTGTTGCTTGTAAATTTCAATTGACAAAAAATTATGGCGTAGAATATTTCATATTTGGTAATCTTTTCGAAGTTTAATTGCAGTCTAGTGTAATTATTTCTTTTAAACAAATATAATCAAATTAGATACTTACCATATGATATACTTGCCAACTTTACTATACATTTTAAATTTGCATTGCAAACCAATAGGTCAACAAAATTAAATAAGCACACCAAATTCAGAACTCAATTGGGATTAATTTTATGGCCATCAAAAGCGAAGTATGGGTTAGATCCGGTTTTTCCGAATACGGATTTGGATTAGTCCTTACTTGTAAGTCATGCCATTGCTATACCCACCAAATTAATTAATTTCTAAAATAAATAAATATGTTTCAATATTTAAATTATATTGCACTATATATATTAATAGTATATTATACAATGATTATTTATTACTGCATCATATGTACATACATACTTGTATAATTATTGTTAGTATTTTTAATTTTTGCTTAATTAAATATTACATTATGGGGCAAAAAAAACATTACGTTAATGTCATTGTATGTACTGATCAACTTTATTTTTTATTTAATTAATAATTTGCTCGTGTATATTTAGATGCGATAGAATTAGGAGGCAAATTGTGGAGTGGTGGGGATCTCCCCCAGCTCTGTTGGTTTGAGAGTCCACTTCCTGAATAAGAGGTCGTGGGTTCAACACCCAGGGTATGGAGATTTCCCCTCCGGCCACCTTCGGGTGCTTCACATCCCACACGTGTGGTGCCGGTTGTGCGTGTGGGTCGGGATTAGTCTGGGCCCTTTGGGCCTGGGATTACCCGGTTATCAAAAAAAAAAAAAAAAAAAAAAAATTGTGGAGTGGTGTGTGTGCATGACAAATTCCGGTTTTAGGTTATATTTCCGTTTGACTCGTGTTATATTTGATTCGGATTTCAAAGAAAGATATTTATATTATTAAAGATATCATTTTCCATCATTTTTTATTTATATATGCATTTTGAATTTGATTAATTGAATTTAAAATAAGCCATATTCAATCGATTCTTAGATCTAACAAAATTCAAATATTATTATATTAAAATATTGAAAATTTTAAAATCAAAATTAAAAAACACGGAAAAATAAATAGCACCCTCTAATTTCGATTTCAGATCCACTTATATATATATATATATATAACTCAAATCCAACTTTGATCAAACGCCGAAGCATATGAAACGATCATAGAGTAATTAATGGCAATATACGATGGAATGTATGAAGCATATAATAAATCAAATATTAATTCACTTGTTCACGAATTATTAGCAAATCATGCGTACGGGTTTAATTTTTTTTATTTTATTAATAATTTTGTGCTTGCTGCTGTATATATTCAATGCGGTGAGTAGAAAAATAGTAGTTTTTAGCCACAAATCTGTTGTGTTTATGTAATTTACTTGTCGCATTAATGATTATAATTATCAACAAAATAATTTCAGTGATTTCTGTATAGACATACATATGCGTACAAAGTCTATTAGGATTATTTGAAATTAATTAATGGATGCGATGCCACTTAGAAGCAAGGAGACAATAAGATTCCGCAAAGCTCATCAACGTGTTCCAGAGTAACTTCCACCAATCATTTTCTTGATTTAATCATTTGCGTTCAATCTTTCTTTAATCCATAGTTAAGCCTTTTTTAATAATTGTTAAGAGAACCAATCTCGTGGGATTACTTTAATTTTAAAAAAGTCTATTACACTTTATGTATACATATACATATATATATATATATATGTATATATGTATGTAAAGTAATGGAAATGATGCATGAAGTTAGCAGAATTTTCCGGTGGAAGGAAAGGAGTGAAGGGCATACTTGCAATCCAAACATATACTTTCCTTGACCGAAAATAATGACATATGACATGTCCAGTTATTGAACTTTTCTACTTTTCTTTTCGAAAAAAATTTACTATCAATTTTCCAAATTTTAAAATTTAATTGAGAATTCATAGAATGTAATATATATATATATATATATATGGCCTTATAAGATTAGAGATACGTTATATACTTCGTATGTGATATGCTCTTTACAACTCTGAAATTATGTTGTTATTGAAGTGATATTACTAAAAATATCATTATTTATAAATAAAATTATTATATAAACTTAATTTTTCTATTAATGCATAAAGTTTAATTTTAACATAATAATACTAATAGACCAATATATAGCATTAAACTTGTAAATATAACCAGAAAATTGAAATTATAATATATTGTCTAGTATATGAAATTGAATGTCCAAACAGTATCAATAAGACATGTTATTGTTAGTCTCCTTTGAATTTCATGAAAGATGTGTGGGATCACTCAAAAGTGGGTGAAAATAACCCTTTTCTTGTTATTACAACTTTTGAATGTTTGGCAATAAATAAAATTAAAAAATAAAAATAAAATAAACGTGAACCGCTGGCCTAAGTGCCACTCAACACTCCTAATGAGGCTTTCGCCTGATTTTGTGGTTAATCCTTCACGGGTTCCACTTTTTTATACAAATTCTTATCAAATTATCAAAGTTAGTTAATATCGCGAGATTGGTTTAATTGGCTGCCTGCACATAGCTTATATATTCTTCAAATTTACATGTTTTTTTTAATTATTATAGATTCGGTGTTAAGGTAGTATAATGTTTGAGTTATTTTTAATTTTTTTTAATTGGAACCAAATAGACGTTGTTCTGCTTATGTTATATTGCTTTTTTTTTTATAACGAAAAACTCCTAACTAATATCTTTCGGACGCGCTGACTAGGTAAACCTCCGAATTGGTTTATGTTATATTGTTTTTGTATGTAGTTAAGTTTTATTTTGGATCATACCAGAAATTTGTTTAGAGTATTCGTATTTTGTTCTTTTCTCTGTTGATAAGTTCTCTTTTCAAATTTTTTTTTTCATATACATAACATCATATAGTATTCGAGTAAAAATTCATACATTTATGTGTTAATATATATATATATATATATATATATTATCTTTTAAGACATTACGGAGAGTTGACTTCTGTAACAATAGATCAGAATGTGAGAGATGGATTAATTAAGAGCAAACACAAAGCATACAAAAGTAGAAAAAGGCAGAAAGTATGTTCTATAAAATGTTTTTCATATTTTAAATGCTTTTTTTTTTTGTTAATTACGGATTTTTCATATTCTTTACTTAGAATATGAAAGTATGTGGTAAGAAGGGTTTATGTATAATCTGTGCGAGTAAATATTCATGGATCTGTAAAATTATTTATTTGCTAATTAATTAAATGTAGGGATTTTACTTCTTTTTTTGTAAGTGAACTACAAATTTATTAACAACCACCAACCTTATAACCCCTCCCTTTTTGTGTATATGTATAAGCAAACCCCACCATCTTCCTCCTTCACTCTCTCTCTCTCTCTTCTCTCTCTGTAGTTCACTTCACACACATAAACACCAAAGTTCCTTCCTTTAACCACAATTTCGATTCTTTCTCCAAAATTTCTTTATCTGGGTTTGTTTATTGTACGATTTCTTCATCTGGGTTTCCACTATTCTTCGATTTTGATTAGCCATGGATGCTCACGATGAGTTCCGAACCGACCGCACTCATTACATCATCAAGGGGAAGCGCACGAAGCGGCAGAGATCGTACTTGCCGTTCGTTCCGTCTGCGGCGGCGGCCACGGTGACCACCGTAACCTCCACGAGCTCTTCGGCCGGCGGCGGTGGAGGAGGAGCACTCTCCGACGAAAACGGCTCGGCGGTTTCTTCTCCGGTCACCTCGACAATCTTCAGCTCCGCCATGGCCGATTGTACAGAAGAAGAAGAAGATATGGCCATCTGCCTCATCATGCTCGCCCGCGGCGCCGGTCCTCCGCCGGTGGAGAAGATCGGGAAACCAGAAAAAATCCACAAGAACTCAGAGAAAACCCATCACGAGAATTCCGGTTTCCATGTCTACGAGTGTAAAACATGCAACAGGACGTTCCCGTCGTTCCAAGCGCTCGGCGGCCACCGAGCCAGCCACAAGAGGCCAAGGACTGATGAAAAGACGAAATCGCCCCTGGAGAAGGCGAAGCCAAGGCCATCTGAAGAAGGGCAGAATTGTCAGACGAAGATCGCCGGCGAAAATTCAGCTCCGCCGGAAAACAACAACAGCAACAAGCCAAACAAAGTTCATGAGTGTTCGATCTGTGGATCGGAGTTTACTTCCGGTCAAGCCCTCGGAGGCCACATGAGGCGGCACAGGACGGCCACGTCAGCGGGAGAGGGAGGCAACAATCCGGTGGTTGCGAGTCGAGGGAACACAGAGGTTACGGGGAACGTGGACCGTCTGATCGAGCCGAGGAAATATCTACCGTTGGATCTTAATCTTCCGGCACCGGAGGATGATCTGAGAGAGTCCAAGTTTCAAGGGCTTGTCCTATCTGCAACACCAGCTTTGGTAGATTGCCATTACTAGTAGAAATCCATATAGAAGCTAAAGAAGAAAATTTTTTTAAAAAAAAAAAAAATTGGAGGAGGGTTTTATATACCGATTCATTGTGAATTGTTTCTACTGTCATTGGAATTATTTTTAATGGGATAAAATGTTTGAAAATTTATAAAATACATATATAATTTTGTTATACGTATAAGATTAATATGCAGAGTAATTAAAAGATGAATCATGCATAGTTTAGATGATCTACTTGTTGAAGTTAGAATGCTTGGAGTAAGCAAGTGGTTAGTGTACAATGGTTGCCTTTCATTCACGAAAAGCAAGTGATGGTATGGCATCTTCTTTTTCTTCCCCCCTTTTTAGGTATAATCTCTATTTTTTTTAATTAAATTAATAGGAATTTTTAGTTTTGTTAAATTCATTGTTTCTTTCTATTCAAATTAATCTAATCCATCTAAGATTGGGTGGTTCAACTGCTAAGAAATGGAACAAAACTCTTTACCAATCCAGATTCGAGTCTTCAGGTCATTCATATGGGCTTTTTCGATCTTCTAAGAGATGCAGTCGGGTCAAAGATCAGGTGAACTTACAGGTTATAAAAAAAAAAAAAACTAATCCGAACTCTCCAAACTCGTAAAAATTCAAAACGAAGCTGTAATTTTTTTTTAATTAAAGAAAAAAATTCACCACTTACCAAATACATTGAACCAAAGCTTGTATGTGAATTATAATTAATCCGAACCCCAATCGGTCAAAACCAATTTATGCAATTGCCAAATGTGTTTATTGTGTGAAAGGCTTGATGATTCTTCTATACGTACCTCCGAATCGCAGTCACAAAAACATACACGTGAGTGTTACATTTTATGAAGATGTTAAAGAATTGACGTATATTGAAATTTATTGAAATATATATATATATATATATATATATATATATATATATATATGTATATGTATATGGAGAGAGAGAAAACAAAACGAGAAGATAAAAGAAGGAGAACAGAAAGGCAAATTAAGGACACGAGATGGACGTGGATTAGGGTTTGGCACCACCACAACTAAAAGACGTGGATTAGGTTCTTCCTTCGCTTTGGGTCTTTCTCCTCACCATATCTATATTGTCTATTTCTTTTCTTTTTCTTTCGATTATATATATAATCACAAGATTCACTCCATCCCAATTTTATAAATATAATCTTATAATGGATAGAATGTCTATCAATCAATAGTCTGATCGGTGGTTTGATCTTTAGTGATTTTTAGTGTGTGTATGTATGTATAGCTTAAATATTCGTTTATATTATTTATATAGTAAGATTAGAATTTTAGACTAATTTGACACAATAAATCTGGCATACATCATATATAGATATATATATATATATATATATACACATATAGTTCCGTGTTGTATATCTCCTTCGATGTACAGACAAAATTTATTTGAAAAACTGTGAAACCAATCTCATGGGAAGAAATTCATAGTTAGTGTGTCAAAGTGGTTTCACGCAACCCTCACTCACTTATATTTCACCCATTCTTTTTTCTTCTAACAAATTTAAATGAATGAATTATTGACATTACAATCAAATAATCGGTTTTCCCACATTGATTTTTTATATCAATTTCTTCCGAAAGTCAAATAAACCAACTAATAAATTTCGAAATAAATTAGCCCTCGTCTAAATAACACTCTTTTTCCGGTCAACATATGAACAAGCAAAGGCATATGGTTCCATTATACATATATATAAAATTAATAAAATCAATAAAAATATAAATAAATAAAGAAGGGACAGGGTTACTTTAGTCTTAAGTCTACTCGGTACACCTAATTAACTAAACTGTTAAGTACAACAATCCCTTGCTTTGCAAGTCACCCGCTCTCTCCAAGACCTACGCAATTTCCATTTTTACCCTCGTATATACGCTTATTAGCCTTTTTACCCAAACCGAAATTCTAATATTAGTTACTGAATTAATTAAATTGAATAGCTGCCCTGCCCCTATTTTTTAATTTAATATAAAGTTTTGTTAAACATACAATCCATATATTGATATTCCCGAGGAAGATTCGACTAACTGCTAGCCAGCCACTGGTTACTCGTACATTGTCCTTTGAAATTCTTTCCACCGAAAAAGGACACAATGCAATTTTATATTTAATTAAAAACATATAAAGCTCGGCACAAAAAAGAGAAACATCTAAAATAAAATGCAAGTGTAATATTGTTTCTATACACTTTTTTTTTCTTCTTTTGATCAGGATAATTGTTTTTGGTTATATATTTAAAATCAAGTTAAATATAATGATATATAATTATTTCAGGATAAGTTTGACTTGATAATTGAGATTGATGTATATATTTTAAAAATCAAATTAATATAATTTTTAATGAATATAAAAATCATATAAAATTTATGTAAATATTTTTTTAAAAAAATTATTATTTTCTTAAAGAAAATATGAATAGATTTTATTTTAAAATTTTTAATTTCTGCATCAAGAAAAAATAAACGATTCAAAACTCTAAATATAATCCATTTAAAAAAATCAACTTTTCTAAAATTTTATTTAGAATGGTTATTAACTAAAAAGATTAAATTGAATTAGTTAACAATTTTTTATTTGATTTCCAGTCTTTTTTTTCTTTTTTGCTATTCCATCAGATAATCACCGTTTATATCTTGCAAATTAATATTAAATTTTCAAAAAATTTCTAATATGAGGAAAATGAAGAACAAACGTAACATATGTTCATGGTAAATTGTTAAAGAAATATCGTTGTATATGTATGCATTAAAATTTGTTTGATTCTTTTTTTTTGTAAATAATTCGTTTGATTCTTGTTCATATTTGTCTATATTTACTATAACAACAATTCAGTATGTAATATACGGTCCGCAATCCAAAAATATTCATGGGCATAATTGACACGTTTTTTTAACCCATCAGAAAAATAAGATTAATCTAATTATGGTCAAAGTTGATCATAAATATCAGGCAACTTAATTATAATCAATCAAATTAATTTTTGTTTAATTTATTAGGAAGAATTTCATAGTTTTTCAACATGTAAAACCAATTTTTTTTTTAATTTTTTGCAATTTGAAAGTCTTCCTCTCTTTGTAATTTTACGAAAAAATAGTTGATGTTGGTGATTTCACCGTCTTAAAACGACCACGGTGAATTCGTAACTTAGTAGCGAATATACATTTCAATACACAGAATATAAAAATAATAATAAATAATAATTTTTGGGTTAAATCTGATAAGACATTTGATTCCGTAACTACAATGTAATTGTTGCGTTGAATTTAGCGATATTAAATAAAATTCCTACGAAATTATAACAAAACAAAAGAAATCCCATCAAATTTAACCGGATAATATATTAACTATTAAAAATTTGATATTATCGATCCCGATAAATTAGTAAAGCGGGTGACATAAGAGGAAGAGTTTGTTATGTGCACGTATTGGTGAATGTTGTAAAGAGAGGCATGTGGCCACACATTGCGTGAGAAGCTCCTATTTATTTCATTAATAACAAAATTAAGTTAATCATTTGGCATTGTCACATGCACTCTTTAATTTTTATTTGTCATGATTTTTTCCGTCATCCTTATAATTTCATCTTATTCTATCATAGCTTTTCCTAATATTTAGTTTTTCATCAAAATCATGCAACTAAATCACATGACATATATTCTCCCATTTGATTTTTTTTTAAAAATAGACATATTTAGATTGTAGTATTCATTATAACAAATTTTACCTTACAATAATCTTCTAATTCCTTTGGACGAGTTTTTCATCACTAAAAATATTTTTATATAATATTCGTCAATATAATATAATAATAGAATAATAAAAAGTGATTTTATAAAATTAATATAATTTAATGCTCTATCTAGATTTGGTAACTACAATTTTTTTAAAAAAAAAATTAAGAATTGTGTTCAAAATGACCATAATCGTGATTAGCTAATGAACATTTTTGTTTGAGTGAGGTTCTAATGTTTTGGCCATTGTTGGCTCCAAAGTGGATATGAGAATGATGTCTCCCTCCTTGTTTTGCCTTCACATTTCGGCCTCTTCTATTTTATTTGTTGGTGGCATGTGATAATGCATTTCTGGTGATACCAAACAAGAAACAACTCATTTGAAACACAAAACTTAGAAGCTGCTTTTGGTTGCCTGCACACAATATTGTTTGGTTCACAAAACATCTTAATTATTTATATTTAGTTGTCATTTGTAATATATATATACACACATATATATATATATATATGCATATATATGTAATGAAATTAGCTGAGTCGAAGTTAATTAGTAGGAGCTGCTACAATTTTCAACGATTAGTAAAAAATTGAACAAAAGATTTTGGTGATGATTGAGCTACTACGTAATTGGCTTTCATTAACTTGTCTTTTAAGTTAAACCAAGGAATATATATATACATATTGCCAGCATGTTATTAATTAAAGTTATTGTTAACATCACTATATTTTTTTTTTTTTTGATAATCCGGAAGTTCACCGGACCTTTTGGCCGAACTACATCTCTCAAAGGACCGGATAGCCCATGTGAACCCAACCAGGAATCGAACCGCCAACCTCTGAGTGCTTTGCACCCAACTGCTGACCACTCGCTCACAAGTTGTTGGTTAACATCACTATATCTTTTGGAATGAAAGAAGATTGATTTCACATATATAACTGACTAATAACCTAGGCTTTTGGCATCTGCACATGTATACATGGAGGCATATAATATATATATATATATATATCACATGTATAACTGACTAATATATGTATATGCCCATGTATACATGTGCCTATGCCCAAAGCCTAAGCTATCATTCAGTTATACATGTGAAATCAATCTTCTTTCATTCAACTAACACGTAACACTCGTGAAGGTTACATTTCTATGTAACATATCACGGTAACGTAACTTCGTTTACTTGACATTTGAAAAATGAAACTATTTTATTATGGGTGATTCGACACAAATATATTCTTGTTTTTCTTTTGGCAAGCCTTTTTTCTCTACAAGATATGTGAACCATCAACCAGTTTTTTAATATATTTTTAAATTAAAATTTCATTTGAATCTTCGAATGATTGGAATTTGCAACGATTTTTTTTTTTTTTTTTTGCTTTTTTTTTTTACGGTAAGAATAATTCATAAATTATGAAATATTCAACCATTTGCAGAAAAAAACAATGATGGCGGAAAATTGGGCCCCTAGTATTGATGGGCCGATGAGCCGAGCCCAAAATATCAAGTTACATGGCATCTTCCAAGTTCCAATATTTGCTTCCAGTATTTGGCCCAATTCTTTAAGATATATCTAACTGTCGCTCAAACTTTGTGATTTAACATTTATAACCCCAAGATTCTATATTGTAGAGAGAAGATATATTTCACTGAGTAATGTAATACCCTGATCATATACATATATATATATATACACACACACACTTAGATTTACGGTACATAGTAAAATCTTTTTGAAGCACTGAAGATATTCTAGAAAAATTTTAAGTGTGTATGTATGTATGTATGTATGTATGTATGTATGGAGTGACAGACAGGTGAGCGGTCCCCAAAAGGCGAAAAGGAATTAATGGGAAAGAAAAAAAATATAGAAAAAAAGTGGTGTCATCAAATGCTGAGCGATGAAGTTGGTCGCCGCATATCCCTTGGAAGATCCTCTCTCCTTCATCTTCTCCACTCAACTCTGAAATATCATACATATACACGCGTGTATACATATATACACACATACATTAAGTGCATACGTACATGCTCACATGCATGGTTGTTGTTTGTATGTTATAAAAACTATATAGTAATCAAAACAAGCCATATATATATATATATAGCTAGTTTTTAACTCGGACAAAGAATATTCCATTGGTTTTAACTCGGATTCGTACCGTCTACCAAGTAAATTATTGTCGTCAACTGTTCAAAATTTAAGTCGGTCGATTAGAATAAATAAAAGCATATACTTTATAGTACAAAAGCATAATATCATCACGTTGCACTAAACGTCTTTATTAGTCCCACCCATTTCACCCGCATCTGTATATAAAGCTCTCACACCTTTCACGGTGTTGTCATCTCTCACCTCTCAGCCTTCAAGTATCATACGAGAGATCAAAGCAAGAAATTACACATTTCTTTGATCCTTTTACTTGTGATCATGTCTTTAGATCATCTCGTCTTCGAAACCCTAATCGCCCACCGCGATTTCGGGGTTATTATTGCAAAACGAGAATTGTGATCCATGAATTTGTTACGATCGGAGAGATAGAGATCGTGCCGATGGACAACATGGACAAGGCGATGCTCTCGGGGCACGGCTGATGAACGGACGTGTACGTGGATGGTGGGGGCTATATCTCTCTCTCAACCGGGCAATTTCATAACCTTTGGCATTTGTTTCTCGTACCCACTTCTTTTCTCTCTCTATATATACATATATACATTTATCTTCATTTCCCTATTAAGGTTTTGAAGAAGCTTGAAATAGCGTAATCATTTTGTAATATTGTGACTCAAAGTTGGGCCGAGAAATCATTTTTACTAGGAGCTCATGCATGATGCTCCTTCTGACATTTATGAAGCCGAAGACACCATTTCTCATCATTTAAGTTACTCACAAAAATCCTTATTTCATATCTATACACTCTCTTTTCCACGATGTTTAGCCTTCTCCTCATTCGATATATACACCCAGAACTTGCTGAAGCCATATAACAGAAACAGACACATAGTTTACCCAAAAAAAAAAGAACAGACGCACATACGCATATATATACACATGTACGTATGCATACGGATAAAATAAAATAAATTTAAAATATTAGAAGAGGCAGATAAAAAAAAGGAATATCTGGGGTTTATTCCATATGCAACCAATAAAGAAATTGGGTAGTTGTTGACTTTTTTTTCCTTGTGCTACGACAAGTGAAGTGCTGCATGTTAACCATCGTACAAGAATACGACCGAAAGGTTTGGAAGGAGACCGAAGTGGATGTGTCATATGATGATGTTTTTTTTTATAAAATATCTCATTAACTTGTAATCAAGAATATTTATTAATTTATTTTTTTAACGGAGGAACCTAACTCCTAACCTTCGGACGCGTTGATTAGGTAAAACTCCGGTATGGGAACAGTCTTTGTATATGGATCATATAAACCCATAAATTACCTCCCTCCCCACTAGTCAGGAATCGAACACTCAACCTCAAAACTCAACCTCAAAGTAGAGTTACATGCTACCCAAGCTTGACCACTCGTCCATGATCTGTTGGGTATGTTTCACCTTTTTTTGTCTCTCAAAGAAGAATAAATTAAAGAAATGGCGAGCATCGTATCGTATGTGTATGCTGACATCATATGATGAATCAGATAATTACTGGTCAGAACTCGAATCCGAATCCGAATCCGAACATTAGGCTTTTACCTTCGTCGGAACTCATAATCGTTCCGCTGATAGAGAGAGATCCGAATTTAGTATTCCAACTCACGGGTGGGATTCAGCAAAAACCTCCAGGTGAGAGAGAGGTTCTCGAAGACTTGGGTTGATTCCAAGGATCTCGTGTTTCAGAGCTGAGACGTCAAACGGCACCGCGTCAATAAGGGCAATTCTGTAATTTTGTAAGGCTGATTTAGAACGCCTAAAATTAGGGTTTTGTGCTCTGACACGGAGCGGATTTCGATCAGTTTCCGGCGGTATTTAGTAGAAAAATGCGGTTTCCTCTTCTTGAGACGTATGCCCAAATCTAAACCCGGTGACCAGACATCGTTGTGTTTCCTTTTTTTTTTGTATGTTCTTGAAAAATCGGAGTGAATCGATGAAATTTCGAGGGACAAATCCTTTTTACGCATAGATAAAGTAATAACAATAATAATAATGATTGAAAATTCCATAAAATCATCAAATTTCTAAAAAGAAACATGAATTTTGAAACTCTGAAAACAAAAATATAAAGTTATCCTTAATTTCCAAATAAAACATAAACTTTTTATATTTTCCATATTTCCACCATCCCGTTAACATGTTAATGGGCGAAGGAATCCGTCGCCGCCCGGAGTCTAACTTGAGAAATCAAGAAAGTGACGAGTTTGCCACGTAATTCCACGACACCAGGTCACTAAAAACAAACATTAAATTTTTTTTTTGTTATAAACACACACACACATATATACACAAAAATAATTACGCATACTAGGTATATGTACAAACATATATATACATAATACATAATACATAATACATATACATAAACAAACATATATATAAACAAATATATATATATATATATATATATATATGTATTTGATAAAGACTAAAGTTGATTATATACGTGATTTTTCACGGTAATAAATATTACATCGAACCGCATCGCATCTGAGAGCTGATCCCTGAGGGCGGGAGGAGCGCCTCATACGAATTTCAAAATTTAAATGCCAAATCCATTATGTCTATATATTTACCTTTATACCCCTATTTTCCATTCTCTGTTAAATTCCCTGCCTCACCTCTCTTTTCGTTTTCACTCTCTCCCCCGTGTATTCTCCTCAATTCGTTTTCGTTTCCGCTCACTCTCTTCAACGCTCGCTCACTCTCCGCGTTAAGGTTCGCATCTTTCTTCTCGATTTCTTGATTAGGGTTTCCGGTGATCGATTCATTGTTTCGAAATCTTTTCCCTTTCCCTTTAATTTTAATCGTCTACTGTTGACGGATTATTCGGCTTTTCAAGTTTATCTGAGTGCGATCGATTCCGGGGATCTGAGAGATGGGCCAGATCCAGTACTCTGAGAAATATTTCGACGACACTTTCGAGTATAGGTAAACTATCAATTTCGATTTTGTGCCCTCTCTACAAGGTTTCCCTATTTTTTCTTTATTTTGGGGATTTATGATTGTGTTGTCTTCATGGTCCGCGCAGGCATGTTGTGCTTCCTCCTGAAGTGGCCAAGCTTCTCCCAAAGAATCGCCTCCTTTCCGAAGTACGGTTTCTGGGTTTTCACTATTTTGCTTGTTTAGGTCTGATTTGTGTATTAGGGTTTTTTAGCTGTAACCGGAGATAAATTGATTATTATGTTTATGAATTTGAGCTTGAAACCGTTGTAGCGTTGAGTGTTTGTGTGCTGACTCGTTGCCCTTAGCATTGTTTGTTTCGAAGGGAAGGGTCATGGTAATGGGTCCAGTTAGAATACAGACAGTTCTTTTGCTAGTTAGTTGTTTTTGGGTACGAAGCAATATTTTTTTTGAATCCAACTCTTATGATCTCAGAGAGATTCTGATATTTTTTAGGTTTCATGTGGTGCAGATTTATGGGGATATTGACACTTGTTTAGAAGTTGGCATTTCACATTTGGCTGCACAGTTGTCTTATCGGATTAAGAGTTAATTACGTTCTTGATTCTATAACATGCACCCTCTTGCGCAAATTGTGATCCCTTCACAAATTTTGAATTGGGATTTCATCTGTGTTTATAAATTATGCAAACATCAACATTCAGACCATATAAGTTAAAAATTGAATATTTTTATGTATGGCTTGTATGAGAGGGATATGCTCAAGACATGGATGGCAGATCTTTCGTGCATCACATAGCTTGGCATTTTCTGAGGATATCTTAGTGTGATTCGGTCAAGATCCGAGGTAAATGATCGTCTTGTGCATTTGATTTCGCAGAACGAATGGCGGGCAATGGGAGTCCAGCAGAGCCGTGGGTGGGTCCATTACGCGGTTCACCGCCCTGAACCACACATCATGCTCTTCAGGAGGCCTCTCAACTACCAGCAGCAGCAACAGGAGAACCAAGCTGTTGGGCTTGCTAAATGATCCTATATAAACAAACCCAGGTATTGAAATTATTCGAGAACATATTATTATTAACTACAGCAAAAACTGGTAAAGCTCTCTTCTGTGGGAATTCTGTGGGGTAGCCTGTTGTCTTGTTGGATGTTCTTATAACCAGTTATTTTTCAGCTGTATGAACATTTCTCGGGTTTAGCACGTTTTTTTTTTTGTTATGCTTGTGTTCTGTTTTTTTTTTTTTGGTAACATTTGGCCCAATGGGGTTTGAACCAGGTTGATTGGAAGCACTTTGTGCTACCCAACCACCAGACCACCTCACTTGGGTTTCTGTTCTGTTCTTGTGTTTCGGTTCCTAGTTTTCTTGCCGTGTTACAGTCATCGAATGTGTGATTTTGTTTTTGTTCATATGCACAGATCTAGTTCACTATTAGTTGATTGAACCTGGGGGGGTTTTTAAAATTTGGTTATCATTGAATTTATGTCGCTATTCATAATGATAGTTAACTTTTAGAAAAAAGGTTTTACATGATGAGGTCTCCTCCATTCCCAATGCCTTTCTCTGTGTCAACACATTGAATGGTATTAAAATTTATTTATTTATTTATTATTATTATGTTGATATACAGAGTTCTAATAGAGCATCTACAAAAACGTGCTCTAATAACCATTAACCACAATAATATAGAATCCAAAAAAAATAATTCACAAACCCCTCCAAAAATAGCTTTTTCATCCGTTTCCGGCGGCTATATCCATTTGTAGTTATTATTGGATTCCCCTCGTTACATCTTGGAGTTTAGGAGACTGATGTAACACTTAAACAAAAAAAAAAAAAGGAAAACGACATGAAATGTTATAACCCATTGAGAACTAAATTGTAAATTTATATTAAAAATTTTAATAGTACAAACCCCTACTAAAAAAGATGTCACATAAATATCTACCAAACGACCAAACAAAAAAAAAAATATTTCTAAGCACGTGAGAACTCACGCGTGTCAAATGCTCAACGATCGTTCCAAACCGGCCCTCTGTCCAAGGCTCGAACAGCTACTACACCTCCTCACACCGGGAACTACAACCGTACACGTGTCTCCATCGCCCACCGTCGATCCTTGGCTGCTCTCCGCCTCGCCACGAACCACTGCCTTGTCCGAGAACAGCTGGATACTCCGACAGAAGGGGCACGACACGTGTGAGCTCAGCCATGTGTCTACGCATGCCACGTGGAACACGTGCCGGCAATACGGTATCACTTTAACCGCTTCTCCATCCTCGAAGTCGCTCAGGCAGATCGCGCAGTCCTCGATCTTCTGCTTCGCGCCTTTCGTGTAAGGGTACACCGGCAGAGACCGTACGGCCTGTGCATAAACCAAACTCAGATTGCGTTAAACCAATCAGAATTTCCCTTAACCGGTCACTAGACCGAAATCGTACCGGACACGTGATGTACCTGAGAATCCAGTCCCTTCCGGGAACTAAGGTGTCGGGAAGCAGACGGGGAAGGTCCACGTGGCGACCTCCCGGAGGATCTCCGGCGTGGACGAGAAGATATCTCAGCCGTTGAATCATCGGAGGCGAAGTGGCGGATGTAGACGGAGAAGAAGCCCATGAAGAAGAGAGCAATCAAGAGGACGAAAATGGTGAGGGCCATGGAGGAGTCGAGGGCCGAATTGTGGGATGTGGACGGCGGAGATGATGATGACGTGGCGTTGTGGACGGTGGAGACGGGCTCTCGCTGGCGGGAAAGCGTTGAGTGTTTGTGTGCTGACTCGTTGCCCTTAGCATTGTTTGTTTCGAAGGGAAGGGTCATGGTAATGGGTCCAGTTAGAATACAGACAGTTCTTTTGCTAGTTAGTTGTTTTTGGGTACGAAGCAATATTTTTTTTGAATCCAACTCTTATGATCTCAGAGAGATTCTGATATTTTTTAGGTTTCATGTGGTGCAGATTTATGGGGATATTGACACTTGTTTAGAAGTTGGCATTTCACATTTGGCTGCACAGTTGTCTTATCGGATTAAGAGTTAATTACGTTCTTGATTCTATAACATGCACCCTCTTGCGCAAATTGTGATCCCTTCACAAATTTTGAATTGGGATTTCATCTGTGTTTATAAATTATGCAAACATCAACATTCAGACCATATAAGTTAAAAATTGAATATTTTTATGTATGCGTACGTCGCCGTAGAACTGAAGGAGCTGCCGGAGTCTCTGCTTCTCCATGGATTCGCAGCGAGGGACCAAACCAAATAATTGAGCACGGAAAAGAAACAAGAAGCTTTATTTATTTTCTACCAAAACATTCGGCTCTTTCCTTCACCATCTAGAAGAGTCATTACATACATATTCTATGTAGAGCTATATTGCACAGAATTTTAGAAGGCTAAATTTCATCTCATCTTATCTTATTTATAGTTTTAAAAAATTTAGGAAAAATGGTAGCTAAATTTTTAGACCAAAAATAGAATATGTTTAGTAAAGTAAAATAATAATGTAATTAAGAATTAAATAATAAAATAATGTTCAAATAAATTTAACAATATATATATAGAGAGAGAGACGTTGGTGAAGATAAGGCGAGGGGACACTGAAAAGAGTCAAAAGAAGAAAGAAAAAGTGGAGCCCATGCAGACGTGAATTTTCGTGTCTTTTGCAGAAAGTTATCCCTTAATTTGTTTCCTCGGGAATTTTGTAGGTTTCTTGTGGTTTCAGCAAATCCCTCTGTCCACTTGTCGTCTGTATATATATATATATATATATATATATAGCTTATCGTCATGTTAATAAAAGAACTCCATTTGCTTCTTAAGCAGCATCGCTAATTTTTTTTTTTTATTATAAAATTTGTTCTCAATGAGATTTGAATTTGGATTGAAATCATTTTGTGCAACTCAACTACTAGGTCATCCTACTTGGATATCGTTATTACTAATTATTACTAATGCGTAAAAGCTTAAATTATTTTTTTAAAGGATGTTAACGATATACATAAAATAATGTTAATATATATACATACATATATATAGAGAGGGGGTCTATCTTAAAATTTATAACAGTATTTGTTTGTTTCTGTAACCATAATATATTATATTTATTTAAAAGTAATTTCTAGAAAATATTGATAATAAAATAGACCATTTAAATTTAGGATGTGGATAGCAAGATTTTGTGAATGATATGGGAAAAAGGTTTCGCAATGATAAAAATATTTTTAATTTAATTTATTTTTTTGGGCGAGGAGATGGTGTGGGTGGAAGACGTAAAAGTCTCGGGAGTTACCTTTGGAAGATCAATTTCACATGTCTTTGTCGGAGAGTACAACCGCGAGGGCCTCCCTCCGGGGACCATATTTAAGGTTGGAATTTACAAATATCGCTATTTTTTTTTTAACTTTCCTCCAAAAATATCTAAACTTGTGATTTTTTTTTTGTTTTATATATAAAAGAGAGAATTATTGCTAAAACTTTATATAAAAAGAGAGTGAATTATAGAAATCGTTTCGTTTACAAAATTTCACCATCCAAATCTAATATCTTTAAAGCACATCTTTGCCTTATTTTCATTATCTTTTTAAACAAAATTCAAATGCGATAATAGATATCTTTGTTGCTATCGTTTTCGATAATCACATCAAACCAACACTTAAGACGTGTATTATTATTTATTACCCAATATTTAAGCCAAATTTGTAATCTAATTAAAATTGGAGGCTTAATCGTTATTCCGAATAAAAAGGGGCTAAGGGTGCATGATATTTTAGTAATTACCGTTTCTATGAATTGGAATTTACTTTAAGATATAATTTTTTTTTCTAAATTCATGGGTTATGATCTCTGCACAATATCTGAAATGACTAACCATCAAATTAACTCATCGTTACACTTTCAAGTGATTTTCGTGTTGTCCCCACTCCACACCTCTCGAAATGCGATTTGCTAGTGTTTTATAATTTGTTTTGTACTTAATTTAAAATACTGACTTTTCTTTGTATCAAAATACAATCGTAGATCTTTTTTTGTTTTTGTTTTTTGTTTTTCCACATAGTATTTATTTGGTTTGACTTCGGGAACCAATATATTTGACTCGTAAACCAAACGAATTAGATTATAAATAATTATTTTTATGTCGTTTACAAGAAGGATTAGTCCAAGAAACACGTTTCTTGAAACGCAAGAAACATATCTACACGTTGATAGATCCGACTTTAGTTGATGGCACTTGAGATCTCGGAGGTTCTCTATATGTAATGCCCGAAAGGACTCCATAAATAGAACCACGAGGAACAATACATAATGAATTCTTAGATATTTGAGTAGATAATATTTTATATTTAATAATTTATATTTAATTATATCTCTATCCCTAGACTGTAAATTTCGTATACCTTATTGGAGTGCATTTCTTTTGCTACATATGCCCCCCAACAAAAGAATTAACTAATTAACAAAAGGAAAAAAAGAAGAAGATTAACAACTAATTAATACGTGATATGTTTAGTTATTAATTTGTTAATCAAGCCAAATTTCATGGTGGGCGTTACCCTAAAATGATACCACCGCTCCTTTTTCATGTAATTACGCCTATAACAGTAGTAAGTCCATTCAAATGGCACAAAAGAATAAAAACCAAATACTACTTACTTAATCTTCAAATTAAACACACTAATTGATAACTGAAATCAGTTGTTGGACCACTATTAAAACTAAAAATTAAAATGATTATAGTGTGGACCCTTGAGGCCACATATATATATATATTCGGAGATAACAAAGTTTAGCTATAAATAAAGTTCGTACAATCATTTGAAAATAGAAATAGTTGAAAAAGAAATGTCTCAAGAAGAAATTTGAATTGGTGCGAAGTTGGCTTAAATCATATCTTTTAGCCAATAAATATTGAATTTGGAAAAACTAACCATTTAAATATTCGGTGTTTGAAAGCATCCCTTGACTAAGGGATTTGGTTACTTCTAATTAATCGTAATTAATTAACACTCTCTCTCTAGTATATAACAGTTGTTATTTAGATGGTATAATCCGTTAGATTATATGCTACTAAAATTATCAAAACATAAGAGTTGCAATCAGTCATGGTATTAACTTGGTTTTCAAAATCTCATCCCTTATTGAGTTTATTGAATCATTTAGACCCTTGGATTTAGTTGTGATCCATCATGGTTCATAGAGTATGGTGTCTTTTGTGGGTTGAAATTACAAAACCATAATTTTATGTAACTGTATCTTTCACGTACCTAACACCTACAACCAAAGTTTTAACCATAGTCCATCCATATGTATACACACACACACAAGGAACTATATATATATATATATGTATATTTAGGTGTAGATTACATAAATGTTGAAATAAATAACTAAAGACCAAAGGCTTCATGTGTCTTTACATCACATATACACATTCATGTCCCCTCTCATTACCATATGCTTTAATGGACCATTATAGAGTTGTTAATTAAACCGCGCAAGTAACACATTTTTCTGTGAACCCATAAGAAAATTAGACCAAAATTAATTAACTTTCAACTAAACCACCAAATTGATGTAACCCAAATTCGGTTCTATTATATATTTTATTACTCAAGATAAAACTGCATAGACTTTGATCGATTTAAGCAAATTAGAGTTCCAAACATAAGAAATATCATGGAAACTTAGAAAATATATATGCATTTGCTTTCATGTGAATTATTCGGGATTTCTTCTATACACAAATTGTTTTCCATGTGAGAGCGTTGTGTGGAAGTGAGCTGGACTAATAATTCTGGGTTGAACGGATAATATTAAATTTAATTTAAATTAAATGAAAGAGATCATAATTAAATTAATTTTGTTGAGAAAAGAGAAAGTTAATCAAGAAGCAAAAGGGGCTCTACGAGGAATGCCTTTTCTTCTCCTTGAATTGGATTGGTGAGTTGGAGGATGCGTGCCTTTGTGCCTTTCTTGTTGTCTTCCTCTACTCAATCTCCCTTCTTCTTCCTCTTTATTCTTCCTTATTCCCACAAGCTGACATTAGTCACAGATTTTGTACACATTCTATTATCAGTTCTCCAACATACATACATACATACATACATACATGTATATTTGTCCGTTTGTTTGTGTGTGTGTGTGTTGAAATGTTGAAGAAGAAGAAGAAAAAAGAATTAATATGTAATGCGTAATCAAACGCTACATATAATAAAAAAAAATTCGATTTCAGAAAGAAGAAATTTCACCATTATTGAAGCTCCAAAAACATCCATAAACAACACTCATCATATAATAAAAAAGAGACCCATTTCTCCATGCCAACTCTAACATTCTAATATGCATTCCAAGAACATTGTATATGCATATATATCGATTAGTGGGTGTGTTAGGTTACGAACCTTGCAACCCAAGGAACAGAAGCGGAATGGGTCGAGAAGGCTTCTGCTACAGATCTCGCAGAAGTAAGAGACAGATTTTACGGCGCCATGGGAATGCTTAGGCTGAGGCCTCTCGTTCAAGAAGATGACTCTCGCGCTGTTGATGACGTACGTTTGCACTCCTCTTATGTCCAACACGTTCTCTATCTCCGACACCCTCACAACGTCGTGATACGATGATCTTCTTATCTACAACGTATCAGAAATGTAGGGTTTTGATTATGATTAACATTTAATTCCAATATCATATATTCATGGGGGGGAAACAGTCGTTGGATTACGCCTAAATCGATGAATTCATTGGTTCAAATTCTCTAGAAAGTTGGGCCTTTCACATGATTAATCAGGTCGGGCGATACATTACACATTTAAAAAAAGGTGAAAATGAAGTCCAAAGAGACGGGTTTGACCGGTTTCATTAGTCAGAAACTTTGTCTAGATTCACCCAAAAGAAACATATGGAAAATGAGGAACATCTAGCACATTTTGAAGAATCGGGCAAATATATATAATACGGAAAATTGTGTGTGTATGTATTTATGTATGTAAATGTGGAATGGAGTGGACCTGGATGACAGGATGATCCTTGTGGAGAGAGGAGCGGCAGAAGAAGCAAAACGCGGCGTTTTGACAGGAGAGGCAAAACATGTTGCATTCGTTCCTCGGAGTTTCTCTGTGCGTTGAGCAAATTTTGAAGAAATTAGTTCTCAAGAGAGGCTCCAACCATGGCGGCACCTGCATTTCTCTCTCCTGTGTTTTTTTTTCAGAAAAAAAAAACCAATGGAAACCTCATTGAACATTGCAACAACAATTCATACGATGGATCCATTACAAAAAAAAAAAGAAAAAAATATGGACTCTGTAGTTGTTGCATTACCATTTGCTAAGATGACCAGAAGAGAGAGAGAGAGAGAGAGAGAGAGATGGAAGGTGAGATGGAAAATCAGAATAGTTAAGGACTTAAGGGTAAGAGAAATAAAGGACATATTATTTATATCTTTGTTGGGAGAAGAAAGGTTTTAATTTTAGTGCTCATATTTTATTAGTGGAAAATTAAATATACATATTGCTCTTAATCATTGCAGATTAAAAATACTTATATTAAGAAAAAATATTAAATATGAAAAATAAAATAATTGCGTAGAGAGGTTGTAAGAGAGATGTTTGGTTAAGGTTGCCCTAGAACCGTTACATTGAGTAACAAGGAACGTTAAACATATTATATATGTATACACACACGCACACAAGTATATAAACGTATGTTCGCGTATGCCATGGAAAGAATTGCTACATTTTAATTAACTTGCCAAAATAAATGTTGTATTTTACAACGAAATATAAATATCAGTGTTTGCAAATATATTAATATTATCATAGCAAATCTAGAATAATACTTCCATTTTAGAGTTTTATTGAATTGTTGTAGAGAAAATAAATGATTTGGAACTAATTTTCTTATTATACCCGAAATGAGTCGAAATTTATAGATTGTAATAAAGAAATAAAGAAGAAACAAATTGGTGCGATTCACAAATATCAGCCGAATCAAATAAAAAAATTTAACATTTAAAAAGAAACAAAAATAATAATATACCTCGTAAATAATCACAACAATAATAATTAAACACTATGTGCGGAAATTAAAATTGATTTGATATTGTATAAATTATAGAGTTTTTGTTTTTGTCCTCTTGTGACACAGGAACAATAATTCTACATGTATATACATATATGTATGTAAAGTATTTAAAGGAATTTGAAAAGACATCATAACCATCACCGTATGAAAGAATATATATATAGGTAATAGCAGCCAACCGAATTAAGTGCAACCAAAGAGATATACACAATGAAACAGAATATGCAATAAAATTATAGGTAATTATATATACATGCAGTTCTATAAAATAAAGTAACAAAGAAATATATACAAAAAAAAAATTATAAAAAATAAAATGAGTGGAGGTTGCATAAGAGAGAAGGAATGGTTATACCATGAACATGCTTATGCTTTGCTTGGGCTTAGATCCCTTTATGTGCCTCTCAAGTGATCCAATCCTTTCAACTATCCTCATTGGCTGTCACCAGATTTCAATTTTTATTATATGCTGCATATCATCATGTAATATATGAACCGATGGTCTGCATATTAATTGGATTTCACTCTTATGTGTAAATTTTCTAATGGACCACAAGATCTTCCCCGTGAAACCTCTCACCAAGCTCCCATTTTCAGTTAGTTCTATCACATATATACATATATAGATATATATATATATATATATATATTTATATAAGTCGGTTATTGGTGTAGGTTAGAGATTTAGTCACGAGTAAATAATTTAAATTATAATTGTTATAAAAAATTAAAATAAAAAAGTCAGAAGTATTCTATCTATGCATAATACCTACCATTTTAGTTGAATATTGAAAAATCAAGATCACAAAAAATTACTCAACAAGCGTTCAGAACAGAACAGTAACTCTGTTTTTCTTCCTCTTCTTTCAGATTTACACTTCCATTGTCCAATAAAATATGAGCCAGAGAATGTGGTAAAGAACCTCAAGAAGAACAGCTGACAACTGCAGAGTCTGAATGTGTTTTCGATTGGATTACAACCCGAGCTCCCGAAGCAAGCCTGTTTTCAGACAAAAGCATGAATCTCGGAGTTCGATATGAGCGAAACCAAGCTGAAGAGTTGCTGTGTTAAGAACAATAAAAAGATCAGTGATACTTAACTTTCTTCGATTTTGGTCAATCCTTCCTCCGATCTCCTTGTTGGTTCAGTCATTTGTATGCTATATCCGTCCGGGGATCTCATTGAACCGCTACGTGGCTGTTTGATGATCGAAGCCTGTCGCATTTTCCTCCTCCATGGTTTGAGTTGTTGTCTTTGTTTTCAGCTGAATCTGGTTGGGTACAAGTCCTGAAATTCACAGAGGTTTCTTTAGTTATATACAAAAGGTATCCATGAGAATTCAAGTTATTTTCATGGAAACCAAAAGGCAAAAAGTTCCTGGCTTGATGAGAATTCAAGTCACCATTTTACAACTCATCTGTTAGTTCTTTTGGAGCCAGCTTGCAAAATAAATTCCGAAATTTAATTGCTACATACGAACAAGTGATCAGCTAACCAGTTAAAACTCAAATTCCACAGGCATTATAAACTAGGATATCCTTTCCTGCAGTAGCGTTCACTCGTTCACTCAAATGTGTGATTTGTTAGTTAGGACAACTACCTGTCAGCATTGCACGACGAAGAACGCTTAAGAGATGGTTTCCCTTCCGCTGCATCCTTGAGCAACTTGGTCTCAACCAAGCCTCCGCTGAAATATTCTCTGTCTTCC